TGCTGCCGTTTGGGATTTCTCAGCGCGGTATAGATATAGATTCTACGGCTCTGGGTTTTCTCGTTCTGTGTTCTTTGTGTGTCGCCATTACTGCCGAACGACAACCACAGCGCCCCCAGTGTCCCGGGGGAAGCCTATGTGGTTTTATAGATTGTGTTAACAAATCATCGCAATTCGTGTATGGAAAATACAATTAAAATATTTTCTAACTCGTAATTAAATCTACGGATACAAGCGGCCGAGATGGGTTTTCTCCGCAGGGTGGCTGGTGTCTCCCTTAGGGATAAGGTGAGAAGTTCGGTCATCAGGGAGGGACTCGGAGTTGAGCCGCTCCTCCTTCGCGTCGAAAGGAGCCAGTTGAGGTGGTTCGGGCACCTAGTTAGGATGCCACCTGGGCGCCTCCCTAGGGAGGTGTTCCAGGCACGTCCAGCTGGGAAGAGACCAAGGGGTAGACCTAGGACCAGGTGGAGGGATTATATCTCTTCGCTGGCCTGGGAGCGCCTTGGGATCCCCCAGTCAGAGCTGGTTGATGTCGCCAGGGAAAAGAAAGTTTGGGGCTCTCTGCTGGAACTGCTACCCCCGCGACCCGACCACGGATAAGCGGGAGAAGATGGATGGATGGATGGTAATTAAATCTATACTAACTGTGCAACATATACCTTTACTTTGACTATCGGGATTCTATTCCACTATATTCTAAATGCGACACAGAACAAACTGAAACGTCGACTTTAATTCAATGTATTATGTCAACTAATTTCACATAACTATTAGGTTAGTTGAAAGCAATAATATTAAGGTGAACCTAATATGTTTTAATTACATGTAATTGTATTGCTTTCAACAAACCTAATACAGTTATGTGAAATCTGACATAATACATTTAGTTAAAGTCAACGGTTCAGTTTTTTCAGTGTACACTTTTATAAAATGTTTTTAAAACATTGCTATTATTGTTGTCAACATGGGTGGGTACATTTGTAAATTGTAATTTGTGTAATATCTATCTCTAATATTTTATGTTTGCCTGTTATTTGATATTGTGCTGTTTTGCCTCTTTACTTTTACTGTAACAATGTACACGTCTACTCTGTGGAACTAATATAAGTGGCAAAGGGTCAACAGGTCATGGTAGTGAGTTGTTACAGACCCCCCTCAGCTGTCAAAGACTCCTTGTCTTCACTAGCAAATCTTTTATCACAACTAGACTACAAGGAAATAGTGCTACTTGGAGATTTTAACTGGGATTGGTTAACTGCAGTGTCAGAGGATTTAAAAAACCTTTGTATCTCTTTGAATGTTACTCAGATTGTTGACAGTCCTACTCGACCAAATATTAAGTCCCCTAATAAATCCTCCCTAATTGATCTCATTTTAACTAATGTTCCCCATAAATATTAATCTGTGGGAGTATTTGCAAATGATCTGAGCAATCACTGTGTTGTAGCCACAATTAGGGACACTAAGGTCCAAAAGGTTAAACCTCGCATTATCATTAAGAGAGACAAAAAACATTTTGTTGAGCAGGGTTTTGTGCATGATCTGTTTGATTTTGATTGGGGTAAAATCGATCTGTGTGCTGATGTGGAAACCGCATGGTCTTATTTTTATCTTGGTTTTATGGAGATCATTGATAGACATGCACCCCTGCGTAAATTTAGAGTAAAGGGACGAGAAATCCTTGGTTTTCTGCTGAGCTGTCTAGTCTCCTTCATGAGAGAAACAAGGCCTGGGCAAAGGCTAGACAATCAGGCTCAGAGGTAGAGTGGCTGCGTTTTAGGCAGCTAAGGAATAGCTTCACTTCAAATGTCAAAAGTGCAAAGTCGAAGTACTACTTGTCAGTTACCACAGAAAACCTAAATAATCCTAGGAAATTTTGGAAAGCAATAAAATCGATATCCACCGGTGAGATCCGTAATGAGCTACCTCCGTGCCTTACCACAGCATCTGGCACTATATCGGACAGGGCCACTATGTTAAATTGCTTTAATGAGCATTTTGTGTCCTGCGGTTCTATGTTTGATTCTGTGACTAACTCTGCTTCTGTGAACACCCCAATCCGTGACTCTGAACAATGTGGTCTGGAAAACCCTTTCAGTTTTACTCCTTTTACTGTCAATGTTGTTCATGAAGCCTTATCTAAGCTAGATCCTAAGAAACCGGCTGGCCCGGACAACGTAGAACCTTTCTTTTTAAAGATAGCTGCAGATTTTATTGCTCTTCCTCTTACTACTCTTTTTAACCTCTCCCTCAGCACAAATGCAATTCCAAAAGTATGGAAGTCAGCGTATGTCCTGCCTCTACTAAAAGGAGGGGAGGCAACTATTTTAAATAACTATAGGCCAATCTCTAAATTGTCAGTTCTGGCGAAGGTGCTCGAACGCCTAGTGAGTGAACAGGTAAAGGAGTTTTTATGTAAAAATGACATCCTGTCTAAACATCAGTCAGGCTTCAGAAAACAACATAGCACCATCACTGCCACAATGAAAGTGGTAAATGATATTACGAGTATTTTAGACAATAAGCAGAGTTGTGCAGCTCTATTTATTGACCTTTCCAAAGCGTTTGATACCGTCGATCATCGCATCTTAAAGCAGAGGCTACTCAGTATCGGCATATCCAGCCATGCAGGTTGGTTTGTGAACTACCTCTCTGAAAGGTCCCAATGTGTTCACTTTGATGGGCTGTCTTCTGAGTGGTTAAACATTGCTAATGGTGTTCCTCAAGGTTCTGTTTTAGGTCCACTTTTATTCTCCATCTACATCAACAGTTTAGGTGAAAATGTGGATGATGCTACTTTACATTTTTATGCTGATGATACCGTGATGTATTGTGCAGGTCCCTCCATTAAGGAGGCTGGTGTTAAATTACAGGCTGTTTTTAACATTATTCAGACTCAGCTTGCTGAACTTAAGCTTATTTTAAATGTTGATAAAAACTAAGGTAATGCTATTTTCAAAAGCTAAAAAGACACCAGAGCCTGTTTTGGATATTGTTACTATGCAAGGACAAGTACTTGAAGTGGTTACCAGTTATAAATACCTAGGTATCTGGCTTGATGATTGTCTTACTTTTAAACTTCATGTCAATAACCTGCTTAAAAAGCTGAGGGTTAGGCTAGGTTTCTTTTTCAGAAACAAGTCCTGTTTCTCTTTTGAAGCCAGGAAAGGCTAGTCACTGTGACCTTTTTACCTGTGCTGGACTATGGTGATTTGATGTATATGAATGCACCTGCCCATTGCCTGGAAAAGTTAGATGCCGCCTATCACAGTGCCCTGAGATTTGTTACTAACTGTAAAGCACTTACTCTTCACTGTACCCTGTATGCCAAGGCAGGTCTGCCTTCACTAACTGTACGGAGGCTCAGTCATTGGTACATGTTCATTTACAAAGCCATGTTGGGTAAACTACCTTTTTATATCTGCTCTCTCGACGAATTGAAAGTACATATTGCCTGAGATCTCATAATGTTGTTTTATTAAATGTGCCAAGTGCTAGGACTGTCTTAGGGAAGAAAGCTTTTAGTTGTGCAGCTCCACTAAATTGGAACAGTCTGCAAACATGTTTAAAACTGAGCACTTTGGTTCCCCTGCATCATTTTAAAACTCAGCTGGGTGACATGCTGTTTGATACTCATGGTACCTGTCTCTGTAAATAGAGTTTGTAATCTGTACCCTGTACATTATGTTGTATGTCATCCTTATTGTTGTTCTGTTGTTTTTATGTTACATGTGTAACTAATGTCCTGCAGGTCACCCTTGAAAAAGAGATCTTTTGATCTCAAGGGGCTTCACCTGGTTAAATAAAGGCTACAAACAAACAAACAATAAAGGTTTTCTGATTGTGATTAACTTTGTTAAGTTATACTTTATGTATCAGGTGATACAATAAATACATCCTGCTGTTTGAACAAGTAGACATATTTTGATTTGTATTGTGTTTTTATGTAATTAGGCTGTGATTGCCTTATATTCCTTTTTTATTATGTACATGTAATATTGTTTAAATGTATTTTGTACTTTGCATCTATGTGTTATCAGTTTTGCCTTGGTTTTTATTTATTTTATTTTAATAAGGAAATGAATAGTTCTACAGTAAGCATTTCTACAAAATTGGTTTAAGTGCCCTTCCAGTAGCCTAACCCACATACCTGTCCAAGTTTGGTGCCTTATTTAATGACCATTATCGTCCTTTTGTACTGCTTATGTGTAGTAAAATGGTGATTAGGAATGCAACTAAGTACTTGTGTTGCTGTGTAAAGCAGGGTGTAGTTTCCCGCTGGTTGGCAGTGTCAGTGCCAGGCTGAAGCACAATGCTAAGACCATATAATAGATTGTATTTACTTTCTTTAACAGGTTTCAAAATAGGGAAATTCCGGTGCTAAAATGCTACGTTCAAGGGCTCATCTATGGATGGTAAATTAGAGAACAGCACTCCAAAGCTAAAACGAAGAGAAGAAACATTGTTACAAAGTTAGCAGGGGGTAAAATGAAGATTTTTGGCTAACGGGATATTCAGCACAATCATTTAAAATACCCATGCAATACTTTATTTTATTACAAAATGCTGTCCTCCTAGCATTTTTCAATTGAACAGTCGTCATAGAATGCCAAAAACATTTCCCACAACAGAAGATGACCCGGAAGGTTGCATATCCATATTATTCTTATTATTTGATACTATTATTAACAGTAACAGTCTAAAAACAACATTTTAGACAACTCAAATGTTAATAAATGTTCTGTTAATCACCTAACGAACCGATTAATTTTAACACTGGAGGTAATGACTCCGTAGGAATTGTGTGTGTGAGTGGAAATACGTTGTGTTAGGCTGAAAAGTTGGCTAAAATGTTTATCTATACCCCAGTGAAAAGTTTAAACGTACGCTAACCGAACGAAACTGAAATAGAAATAAAGCTTTTCCTCTTCATTGCTTTGTAACATTGAGTTTTACGGACTTGTACATGAATGCATCAATACTATGTGAGAATGACGAAACTCAGGTCAGAGAAGAACAGCATGCAGAGAGTGGAGGTAGTCACCCGGTTTTCTCTCAGCACCAGCACCGTTATCCTCCGAGTACCTTTAACTACATTCGATTTGCATTTTTCAGTTTCTTCCAAATAAAAACTTCGACATTCAGGTAAGGCACAGACCTATAATAGTCATTGTAAATGCACACTCAACATTTTTAGGGAGTAGGGATGCAACTAACGCTATTTCCGTTATCTTTGATTGTTTTTACAATGTGATTGTTGATTGTTTTCTTTAAGTGTATACAATCTCAGAAAAAATTGATAAAATGTCCACCCCAGTTTCTCAAATTCTATGTCTTTAAATTAGTGTATGATTGTTTTGAGTTATCAAGAAAAGCAGTACACTGTTTCTCTGTCCATCCATCCATCTTCTCCCGCTTATCCGTGGTCGCGGGGGTAGCAGTTCCAGCAGAGACTGTTTCTCTGTCATTAACTAAAAGTTGCCTATGTTTTGTAAACCACCCCGTCTCACTGAACTCCTAATATTTTTGATTTCCGCCCCACAATTTTATCACTAAAGGTTAACAGGCCAATCCACCATCCCCTGGTCTCCTCATTATCCACGATGAATGTGTCCCAGACGATAGAGACGGAGGAGGATCTCCTCCCTTGTCTCCATGTCAAACTCTACCACCCTCAGCAGAGCTCCAATAGTCTTTACGGGCTCATCCCTCTGGGGGAAAGAAGCAAACACCCAGCGGAGGACCCTCTCAGGCTGGGGCGCGATGGCCAGGCCTGCACTGTCGCCCTGCTCGACACCCGGGTGTCCCGCAAACAGCTGGCCATCCAAGCCTACTACACCCCCAGAAGCCGGGACATGCTGTTCAGGATCCAGAACCTGAGCCAGAGGGCCCAGCTGTCTGTGAACAGCTCAGCGTTGGACTACCTAGAAGTAGTGGATCTCCCGGACAAAGCCCTGATCCGGTTCGGACAGTACGAGATGCTGATCATCCGAGAGTCCGGCGAGGCCAAGGCCAGCTTCGAGGTGGAGTTTGAAGTCCTGACAGTGGCTCCGTCCAGAGAGACTTGCACCTGTGAGCCTAGCGTGACCCCTGTCTCGGACACAGTCATTAATGGTTAACAGTTTGCTCGGAGAACTCAGAATAATTGGCCCCAGTGAAACGGATGAGACTGCAATATGTTATTCATGATGTAGAGACTCTTTACTTTCTAACTTAAACTGCTGTGTCATTGTCACCTCATAATGTGAAACTACAGTATTATTCTGCTCCCTAAAGCTGTGATCTTAATATAATAATTACTTTAAAAATGCCTTCGTGCTTTAAAAAAAAATTAAAGTCTGTTTTTGTTAAATGGTGAATGCTGTGGCCAAAGATGCGACTACCCTCAGACACCACTATTGCTGGAACACAAAGCGGGGTTAACAGATTACAAAACAGGTTTGTCCAGTTTTGCATTTGATGAAGTCGGTTTCACATGTCCGTTAGCAGAAGTTCTCGGGACATTTAGAATTTCCACTTCACTTTGTTCCAGTAGATGTTTAAGGATGTAGTTTTCTTAACTTACAGCAAGTCAAACTATACAATTCTATCAAATTATGAGCAAAACATCTACATTTCAATAAGAATATTACAATTAGATTATCAAAAATATATACTTTTTATGCATTTTCATATAATGTAGGATTTTTATTCCTGAAACATTAAAGTAAAAGCATTAGTTACATTTTATATTATGCTGTATGTTGCTATAGCTTTCAAATAAATATAGTGAATACAAATGTACACTATTTCCATGTCACATTAAGGTATTTTGACAGATGTATTGGTGAGAGTAGATTATTCTAAAACTGCATTATGGAATTCAGATAATATTGAATTGCTTTAGCTGGCTAACACCTGCTTGAGTCATCGATCCTCTTAGGGTGGGGTTCAATTCTGATTGGAGATCCTCATCGTATTTTATTGCATTTACAAGCAATGTGAGATCTTTATCTACTCAAGGAAGCAGAAGAGCCGTGTTTCTCAGGAATGACAGGTACGCAAAGTCATAAAAGGGGATATCTGTCATACAAGCAGCATTGGCACTATAACAAATAATGCCACTGTTAACACCATTCTTGGTTTGTGGAAACTGTAATAAACCAAGAAGGGAGTGTGCAGAACGGAAGCCTCAATCGACCTCAGCAGGAAACGAAAAGGAGAATAGAAAAAAAGATACTTCTCATTTTTCAGATGTGGGAGGATTCACTTGATCAGGATGTACTCTCTCTGCCTTTGACAGTGTCAGTATTTTGTTAGTCATTTTTCTCGCTTATGAAGAAACAGTATGAACCATTGCTGAACAAGCACATCTGATGAATTGATCAGCAAACGGGACATTTCCAAATCTTATGGTTAAGTGTGATAACAAACTAACCCTATTTTCACCACACTGTATTCAAATTGAAATGTCTTTTTTGTAGGGTATGACATCACAGTTCAATTGAGGAAAATCTGTGAATCATCTCATCTGTTCATATATCCCACTTGAGGGGGAAATGTAACTGTCAATCTACATTGTTTTAAAAAGGCAAGGCAAGGGTTGATCAAATAAGACTACAATTTCCGATTTTGAAGAAAAGTGTTTATTTACACCTAATCTTCTCAAACTGGAAAAAACAATGTTAATAAATAATCAGAAAATAAAGTTCTACATGAATATAGAGAAAAGAGTAATACAAACATTGTGTTTAAGGCCATGCGATGGTTTAAAGTAAACATTTCAGAGCATTTGGACAGTCACAATTTAAAACCTAATTTCATCAGGTAGGTAAAAATGGCTGCTTAGAGTAGCACTGCTTTGGACAGATTAGCTCTTCGTCAACTTTGAGAGATCTTGCCTTAATAAGAAAAAAGGATTCATTTCTTTCCATCCAACTTGTGTTTTGGTGTCATCAACAATGCAGGTTTACCCAAGGACTGGAAATCCCCCTCCAGCTCACCAACATATGGACCAAACTTTCCCTGGAGTTTTACAATCTCCTTCCTGGAAAAAACAGACACTTCACTCAAGATCTCAAAATGCACACGTCTTGTTTTTAAATTCTTCATCCACTCGTACTGCTTCACCTTCAGGGCTCTCTGATCTCATCTTTTCCCAGCTGATGTGTATTCACTGAGGCACAGAGCAGGAACCTGCAGACAGAGACAGGGGCTGTTTCTCAATGTTGAGTAGAGCCGCTGCAGAGCCACTATTTCAAGTATACTACATCATCGAGTGGCGCCGAATGCTTTTTAACAGGCATTTAAACAGTCCTTCGGCGCCACTCGATTACATAGTATACTTGAAATAGTGGCTCTGCAGCAGCTCTACTCGACATTGAGACACGGCCATGGTCATTGATCCCACTCCTCTTCACTGATCACACCTCTCATTACCTCATACCCAGGGTGATGTAAAAGAAATAAAGAATATGTTTTTGTATACATTTTAAGACTTTGGCAGATGCAAAACTATTTTTTTTACAATCAAATGTTTTCCAGATTTGAAAAAATATTTTAAAGACTAGAGTTGATCTACCCTCTCTGAAGTCATTTTTCAGCCAATTAAGTCAAGCGAAAAACATTTTCATGTCGGTTTAAAGCAATTGTATGGAAGCCCATTTCCACCACTTAAAATTAAAATCCCCATGAAAAGTCATAGAGATAAAAAAGTCGAAATTATGAGATAAAAAGTCAAACCCGCTCCCGCCCCACTGCGTCAGGCCGTTGTGTCCTTGGGCAAGACACTTCACCCGAATTTGCTCCTGTGGGTGTTGTCCACAGTAGATGACCATTACATGTATGATCTGTATGTGTAATGTGTATTTGTAAAGCGCTTTGAGAGTCATTGATAAAGCGCTATAATAAAGATAAAGTCATGATGAGATAAAAAAGTCGAAATTATGAGATAAAAAGTCATAATTATGAAAGAAGTGCGCATGCGCTGTCTTCAAAGGTCCCTTCATCACCTTGCTGCTCTCCACCATGCAAACGGCATCTAGTCCTAAATAAGGTAACTATTACAGGTGACTTTTGTAAATGTTAGATGTTACATATAGCCTAAATATATATATAATATATATTGCTTTGACATTGCCTGTTATGAACTATAATATATGCCTATAGTTTTGTGGTAACGTTTACGGGTTAGTTAGGCTAGCAACTCACAGCAGCAGACTATTGTCATTAGTGGCGTGAACGTTACCACAAAACTATAGGCATATATATTATAGTTCATAACAGGTAATGTCAAAGCTATGAACTGCATTGTTGTAGTTTAGCTGCAATATAGGCTATATAACATCTAACATTTACAAAAGTCACCTTATTTAGGACTAGATGCCGTTTGCATGGTGGAGAGCAGCAAGGTGATGAAGGGACCTTTGAAGACAGCGCCACTGCAGCGCATGCACACTTCTTATCTCACAATTATGACTTTTTATCTCATAATTTCGACTTTCTTATCTCATGACTTTTCATGGGGATTTTTTTTTTTTTCAAGTGGCGGAAATGGGCATCCATACAATTGCATTAAAAAAAGGGAATATATAAATGAAAGGTGTTTATTTACATTTGCTTTAACTTAAATGATCATTACCAAATTATTATAATCACATTTATTCTATTATTCATTTTTGAAATATATATTTTATATTAATTAAACAAATTCAAATTAATATTTAAAACAATCTGTAGAAATCCATACACCCATTTGAGAAACCGTGTCCTAGAGCAGGAACATATTGAAGTATAAATGCAAAACCACATTTATTGCATTAGTGGTGTTTTGAAATCGATCTGGAACACTACCTACCTCTTGCAGTGGCTGCTGCTCATCTTCAGAGGACGACTTACCCTGAGCTGGCGTCTCCTGATAGTCTAACAACCTACAAAGAGCAAAGATACTAAGAAGACCAAGACTGCATGCAAATTGTGGCACATACACATACAAGGTTATTCATGTTGAGTAGTATGTAGTGTGAACTAAATGAAAATGAAGAATGAGTAATTGCCGCAAGACGACATGTGCCATCGCAAAGCTAATTATTGACCCATTTCTAGGATTACCACCAATTAGCTTAGCTCATGGTAGGCAATGGAAATTGTGATGGAGCTCCCTCTACCACGGAAAACGTGTCAAATCAGGAAGACGCAGCATGAAAACATTGGGTGTCACCCCCTTTTAATCACTCCAGGGTTTGTGGAGAGCCAGATTTCATCAACTGTAATACATTAAAGGGTTGAAAGGAATCGATATTACATCATTTAACAGTTTTAAATGTCAGTGAATTGCTGCACAAAGATATCTCACTTTGTATCACATTTTTAGATGATCAAGTGGACATTAACCTACACAAGATTTCAATTGAAAGCAGATTGAGTGCTTCAATAACAAAGACTGACAGGTTTTCACCATTTATGATGGGATTGAACAGGGCTGAGCCAACACTAACTACCATGTGTTAAGCTCCTAACTCAAGGGTGTGAAGCTGAAGCGTGTTAGGAGTTAAACGCCTGGGTATTACTTCGAATTCCTGCTGAGCCATTAAACTAGAAAGCCTACCGCACAAGGAAAAATTTGACAGTTAGAACGTAGTTTTTGGTTTCATTTGTTTATTAAAAAGCGATCAAATAAAAAGCAACTTGTAAAGTAAAGTAAATCATACATAATGGGTGTCTAGAATCTATTTTCGCAAGAAAAGATAACACAAAACAAAACAACCCTTGAACTTTTGATTCGTCATGCTAACATTTGTCGCAAATCTTAAAAGATTACGTACAACCTGCCACACCATGTAAAATGATTATAAAAACACCTCTACACTGAACTTTTATTCTTATTTTGATTAATATTTTGTAAATAACCAACAACCTTAGTCTGAGTGCAATGAATTTGATCTCAGACTATGTATTTATTTTTATTTAAATGTCTTCCCTCGTTATGAAAAAGAGCATATCCATTTAGAAAAATTGAAGAGCAGAGGGCTTTTGGCATTAACAGTACTCCGTCACACTGAAATAGACTAGGCATCTAAGCCAGCATCCTATTCTTTAAAACATTTGAGGGATCTAAACAGTAAAACAAGCAAAGGAACAGAAAAGGCATCAACAGCTCAGAAGATTACGTGAACCGTAGACATGGAATCATATGATTTTAAAGTACGGGGCGTTCTGCAAAACAGTATCTTCCAGTAAGTCTCAGGCAAACGCAACGCAATCCGCCAAAGACGAGGGGGATGTTTCGCGCCACGTGCATCAGCAGACGACGACGATCTTGCAATATTCTAAACCTGGGAAGAGAGCACACCACACATGTCAAGGAGCGGGTTTTAATCGCGCAAGACTGATCTTTGATGTTAAAGCAGCAGTATTTTTAGGATTCTATCAGCAAGGGTTTAGTTTCTGTATATTGGTCTGGACTAAATCAGCAGGAATTAAGAGCTCTGGCTGATGGGGGTGGTTTAAAGCGTGATTCTACCTCAACGGATTCAGCTCTCAAATTCATTTTCGGTGCACATTTATTTAACATTTTCTCAATCATGCTTACTTTCTTTTAAATGACATTTACCATCCACTCAGTTCTCACCTTGAATGACCCTCCGGATGCCTAGTAGCCCGCATATCGGGGGGGTGGTGGTGGAGGCGGGGGCCCTCTCTCTGCGTAGGGGTCCCTGGGGCGGTGGGCTGCGTACATCTGAGGCGCGTACATGGGAGCCCTGGACAGCGGGGAGAGCCTGGAACGCTCGTATGAGTACCCGTTACCGGCTGATGGAGGAGGCGGAGGGGGGGCACGTCTGATCGGGCTTCGATCTCTAGACATGTAGGATGGAGGGGGGAGGGGGGCGGCGCTCGTACGGGTCAGGAGCCCCCATAGAGAGACGTTCCCTTACCAGTGCCGAGGGGGGTGGCGGAGGAGGAGGGGCGTTGGAACGCCTGTCATCGTATCCGCCCATGCTGTAGGGGCGGGCTCTGTATTTCTCGTAGTAATCCACCATGGCGTAGTCCTCTCGCTCGCCGTAGCCACGGTCGTGGTAAGATGCTCGTCTTGGGGGAGGGGGTGGCGGGGGCAGGGGTGGAGGGGCGTACGCAGACATGCGATCGCGGGGATCCCGGAGATCTCTGTGATCTCTGGGATCTCTGTGATCTCTGGGATCTCTGTACGGAGGCTCGGGCCTCTCCCCCGGGTAGCGGGGAGGGGGATAATAGCCTCCTCTGTTCGGTGGGGGCGGATAGTCGTCCTCCTCCTCGGGTCCACCTTTGGGTCTGCTTTTTGATATCTGAACGTGTATGCGCTTTCCTAAGAGAGAGAAAATCAGTGTCCCTCAAATCTAAAATACAACAGTATGGACTGGGGATGTCACGAGCTACCGATACATAAGAACAAAGTCATGGCTTACATTTTGTAAAACGTATGATATTTATTTTTTACAGCATCGTAATTCCCTGTACGGCCAGCATTCGAGACTAATGGCGTCCGATGTACAAATTGTCAATGCTTTCAAGGCTATTTTATCCTGATTATTATTAACGTTTTGATGGCACAGGAGAGCTAGTTAATGTTAGGTGTTGGCAGAAGGTGGAACAAGGTTCTACAGAGTCTATGGTGCATTCAGGCTCTTTTTTAGCAATAAATAATAATATTGGTCAAAAGGCAACTGCAGGTTTGTTAAAAAAAAGTGGTTTTTAACCCAAAAATAGTTTTCACAATCTAAAAAGATTTCAGGATGAATTATAACCCGTTTAAAGGTTTAAAAAAATAAATCTTAACTGTGGCATCAAAAAAAAAATTACGGTTTCACTGGTATTGGTACATACAAATGTATGGCATCGTGACATCCCTAGTTAGGATATCTAAAAAAACTTGAATTGAATATTGATTGACTTACCTTGAAACTCTGTGTTATCCAGGCCCTTTATGGCATCCATGGCCTCATCAGAGTTATCCATGTGAACAAAGGCAAAGTTCTTGACAATGGCACACTCTTTCACTGTGCCATACTCTTCAAACATGGCTCGCAGCTCATCGTCAAAGCCCTTTTCTACATTGGCAATGTGGAGCTTCACAGGGCCCTGGTTCTTCCCTCTGCTGGGCTCCACGTTGATGGGCCTGCCATCCAGCTTATGGAGATGGAGCTCACGGATGGCTTTGGTGGCTGACTTGCGGTCATCCATGTGGACAAAGGCATAATTTTTGTACTTTGCACATTCTGTCACTGTGCCATATTTGGTAAAGAGAGCTTCCACGTCCTCCTTCTCAGTGTGCTGAGACAGGTTCCCAATGAAGATTTTCACCATGGTTGCTCAAGTGTGATCCTCTAAAAGGGGATAAAGAGAGGATGAGAAACCACAGGCCAGCATGTAATAACAGTCAGACAGTAACCAATGTGAGGGCGAGGATATAGACGGCTTGTAATCGAGCCGCATGTCGGGTAAGGACAACCAGAGCAAAAACAATGCCCACATATGTCCACAAGTGACCCGTTTAGCTTCGTTATTTTATTCACGTATAACTTTTGTAATATAATAATAAACTGTACGACTTTATTTGCAGCTAGCTCGAATTAAAAATATTTCGTCGCCGTGTTTGCACTTCCTGCTCAGAGCAGTTAGGCCCGGCTCGCTTTATTTGAATGGTTTCTATTAGCGAGCTAGCATTAGCTTCCAATCCATTTGTCTCATGTAAGTTAACGGAAGTAAATACAATTACATTCAACCATTACCAAATGTATTAAGTTACGTTGAAGACGTGTACAAATGCAGGCATTATAAAAGCAGAAACGAGTATATTTGAAGAAGGAGAAACTACTCACAGCTCGCGATCGGTGACTCAACGAAGTCGACTCGAAACTCCCTGATAAGATCCACCGGATATGGTGTGACTTTAGGCGCCCAAGCAATAATGTGATTGGTGGATAGACGCGTCCATTTCAAAGTACGGACTGTGATTGGCTAAAATGATGAAGACACGAGGTTTTATGCGGAAAAGCCTTTCTATTTGTTAAGGCTTGGTTCGTTGGTAAGAGTAGTTATGTAGAAAGTGTACCACTACCTTAATCAAACATCTACATGTAATAACTACACAGTGTATAGGTTATTTCCTCTCTTTATTGTATTGAGTATGTTTGTTTCTGATCTAAAATCCCATGTGAATTTCATTTGATTACAGCATGTTTTACCTTTCTTACTGCAGAAGATGTAGGAAGACATGTTTGAAGGACACAGATAATTCAAATGAAAGTGTTCAATCATGTCTGAGTGAATTAAAATCCCTTAGTAAGAATAGAAACCCAAACCTAGATATAGGTTTTAAAGGGAGACTCATCACTCTTTTATCTTAAATTGCAACATGTGGTATTACTTTACATAGCTTTTGAATGATACCTCATTCAAATGTAAAGCAGACTTTTTGATCTCTTTGTTGTTTTGTTTGGCCACTCGGGGGCAGAACTCCGCTGCAATCAAAATTCCCCCCTCTGTTTCTTTAAAAAAGAAGGGTACATGCAGCTAATCTGGTCATAAAGAACAATTATCTTACTTCAGAATAATATAGGGACCAAGACTAGGAGTACCATTGGGAAAACTGAAATAACAGTCACAAAGCAAGCTGTAAAACGTCATCATTGTTGTGTAAGGACCTATTTATGAACTTTCATCAATGCCCTCCTTTAACAAATATGGTATAGCTACAGTATAATTATGCTCTACTCAAGTCTAATAGTATGCTATTATCTTAAATATAATATATAAATGGTTAAAAATTGCCAGAGGATGGATGAGTAGTATAACACGCCCACCGAAACCAACAAATAATGCATGGGCACATTAAAAATACACTTTACTGTAAAGTAATGTACTATTTTGTATCATGTTCTCCATCAAATACCTTGCTTATTCACTCTGAAATGTGTGCTGGACTTCCCTCATGCTTCTATACTCGAAATTAGGATTCTTTAAAAAAGACAAATAGAGGCATGCATTTGTTTTTTGTATCCAGGTTATTTTTGAATTGCTTTAACTGTAGGCTACTAGCGAGTGTTAAATTATAGTTATTTTGCAAAAACCCTTCAACTAACTTTTGATGTGGCTGCTGTGTCATGACTTAAAGGTATTGTGCAACATCCACTTGTTCATGTCTTTTATACATAAACATGTCCCCTCTGTGTAAAGAGATTCTGAAAGTTTCAGGAAAAAAGATTCGCTCACTTTTTGTCCCGATTAATTTATATAAAAATCTGTCTGAAAATGAGCTGATCAGATTTTGGCCACTTTATGAAGTCATTATCACCTGAATCTCCTCCTAGAGCACCATTGAGTTCTTTTTAACCAAATGTCTCTCAGAGGGGCTCCTACTTACTTTCATCTAAAGTAACAGACAGCGAATCAGCACTTTGGAAACAGAGGGGTTTATGGGATGCTAAAATGCATGCTGTTTGTTATTTCTAGCCTAACACTTCAGAGAAGTTTTTTGTCTGAGACCTATTATATATATATATATTTTGATGAAAAACAGTATAATAAGGGACCTTTAAGGCCAATATTAAAAAATAACAAACTGTTCAGAAGAGATGTATACCAAACAATGAAAAGTCCTTTATTGCCATCAGAACATGAGTGAGAAAACCAGAGACAAAATCGGAGAGAGTAAGGAGTCAACTGTACAACCAGCATCCACACAGGCACACACACACACACAGCAGCCAGCAGCCTTTCAACAGGACGCGAGGGGTACAGATACATGAGGATATACAGTACTCACACAATGAGGTATAAAAGTAAACACAAACATACCGGTTAGGGCTTTCTCCACTCACACGCATGCAACTGAACCAAGGTACAAATACTCAAGTGCTCGTTCATTCTTTAAAAACACAACATACAGGTGAGCAGACATGTATGACAGCAGCATCTGGGTCAACTCAACCAAACTCCCATTCATCTGTCTCTCAAAACCTTTGGTCATGTGGACGCTTGCTTGTCATGCACAATATTGCCCTTGTAAGGTAACACTTTGTAGGCGAAGAAATGGGTCCTTTTCTGACTCCACCGATAGAAACTTGGGCTTTCTTGTGGGGGCGGGGGATGTTTTTGAAGTCACAAATAGTTTCTTTTTCAAGACGTTAGTTGGACATTCAATGTGTACATTAGCAGCAATTCTAGTGAATGAAACAATGGCTTTGTAAGTCAGATTAATAAACACCCTTTTCCTCATGCACAGGACAGGCACCACCTACTACTAAATGCCATGCAAGTTAGAAAAATAGACTGCAAACTCACAAGACAGAGAAATCAAAGTTCGTTCTCCAGAGAAGAGGTTGATTTCACTTTCATTTTTTATTTCATATTTTCTAATGATGTGGAAATAGCAACAAAAAAAAACTTGAGAGCGGTAACCAAGACAACAGTAACAACATGAGTAGAGAGCCACCGAGGTTTTTCGAGTCCCTCTCTTACACCAATTTGCCAATCCAAACTTCCAGGTACAAGACTGGACACCTCGCTTGTTTTTGTTGTTGTTTGCACTCCTCTACTCCTGCGACCTACCACCTGGTGTGTGTGTGTGTATCCTGTAAGCGTGGGCCTGTGTGTCATGTGGCTCTCGTGTCATTTGAAGCTGTCCCACAGTCCGCGGGTTTCCAGGCTCCCTCCCCCCACCCCACTAGCAGCACCCGTCCCAGAAAAAGGTGGTCGCCCCTAGTGTGCATCCGGAGCTGTGCGCTGCAGTGGTTTTGACAAGACACAATTGTGGCTGGAAGCTAGCACTGCCGCCCCCCCTCCGACACAGAGAAAGAGGCACGGTATAGTTCTCTTTAAGTCTAAATCTATAGTTTCAAGTCTGCCGTCCGTCTGGTCTCAGCCTGTCCTGTTTACAAGGCTGTGTGGGAGCCACCATGGACCCTCAATAAGAGCTAAATCAGGAAAGAGGAGGAAGACACCCCCTCAGGCCTGTTGCTATCAGAGATGCCTCACCGTGCGACCCGCCCAGGGCTACGTTTTGTTACCTCACCCCTCCCAGTTTTGTTTTGTGGTTGCCAAATATCTCACACGGGCACATATGCACCCCTACGCCGTCCATTCTACTCAGAATGAGAACAAGCGCCTTGAATTTTGTGTTTGGCACCAGACTTTCTTCCTCACGTTGGCCAGCCACTCTTCCTTTTCTGTATCCTTTTTTCACTCGTCACTCCCTCACAGGTCTGTCTTTTTTATAACCAAAAAAAAAACCTGGAAGAACACCTCTCCCTCGTTTTCTTCCTCTTAGGAAACAAAAGCAAACTTAATGGAAAAACTCAAGTTTTTTTTTTTTTATTATTATTTTTTTTTCAAATTCAAGGCACAATGTCTATCAATATTCCAATCTGTCTGTCTGTCTCCACTCCCAGGTTCAGTGTGTGAACGTCGTGTCACATAAGCTATTGGACTGTCTGCTTGTACGCCGCTCCCTACAGCTTACATCTCTCTCGTCTGTACATTAACACTGTGAAGAGACGCTTCTGTTTTGGGTGAGAGAGCGACTGCCGAGTCCAAACCAGTGATAAACAATGAACAAAATAAACATAACGAAAAGACACAAATAAAGACAACCTTTTGAAAAACAACAAAAAAAAGTCTCGTCCTGTTTCTTGTATTTCAGTATTTTTAAAAATCAAGTCATATCCACCAGCTCTTTTTTGGCAAGCTAGTTTTTTTTTTTTTTTTTTTTTAAATAAGCACTAAGTACTGATAGATAGGATAGCATACACCGTTAACGTGTGTTTTTAAGTAGATGCGTTTGTCGTTTTTTTGTACTTTTATACTCTCATAGTAGGAATTCAGGTATTTTGTCAGGTACTTTTCACTCATCAGTTTAAGGTTTAAGTTAATGCAAGCAGGGACAGAGTTTGCCATGGAGTCTTGCTCTAGACTTGGGTTCGCGAGGGGCAGGGCCGTCTCTTTACGAGACCCCGTTGACCAAGGTCAGGGTCTCGCTGGCCGAGCTCATGCCTTTGGGGGAACCCATGGAGGGCGTTCGCTCATCCTTTGTGTCGCTGGTCCCGTTCTCCTGTGGGGAACAAAAAGTGACAAAGGTGAGAATGGACCAACAATGTAATTTACAGCAATGTAATAGTTCTTGTTTTCGTGCCAAACTGTTGTAGTACAGGTGACACAGTTTAGTCCACAGATACATAGATGTGCAAATCAACAGGTCAATAATATATATATATATATATATATATATATATATATGTGTGTTTAAAATACAGCCAACTTATTAAAACCCTTTTTCTAATGCACACGGTTTATTATCGTATTCATTTTTATTTCCAATTTCATAGCATAATAGATGCTTTTCAGTTTATGGTCTATAGTTTTTTGGGAAAGTGCTTGTTCAGTGTTCGTACAGTGCAATACTGATATATCAGAACAATTCCTTTTTAATAACCCAAAATGGTTAAAATGTTACATCAGTACCCAGCAAAAGAACATGTATCTGTCCCTGATAGTTGCAGTGTGTGTTTGTGCCTTTACCTTGGGCTCGGAACCAGCGTGGTTTTCCTTCTGGGGCAAGTTCTGTCTGCTCTGGGACTCAGCACGGGATATGTAGTCAGCAACAGTCACTGGAAACATCAAAATATGTTAGCCAGAGCAACACATTATACATTCACATGTTTTCAAATGTTCTGCTATTTCTTTGATAGGCTATCAGTAGTAATAAAAACTACTTGTATATATCCAAATACAGATTCTAACAGATTTAAAAGCAAGTGATCCATGATGATTGTATTGAAAAATAATATTTGTTCTGAAAAGGTAGACGAAATAAAAATAAAAATTATGACTCACCACCTTCAGCTGTCTGTCTTTCACGGCTGGCTGAACCTCCCTCTGGGCGGTTGCCACGGTTGCGACGGCGCCGGCTTCGGTTGCGGCGCTGAGGTCGGGCTTCATCATCTGTCAAATGAGAAAAATAAAGATGACCATCTCTCATAATTTCTGATTCAATTGACAAATACTTTGGTTTTGATTGCAGAGATGAGATGACAACATTAAGTGCTCACCCAGTCCGTTCTCACTGGGGGCGGCCTGGCCGTCTGACTCTGCGGCAGCATCCATCACGCTGGGCTCCTGGTCGTTACGGCGACGTCTGGAGCGTCTGCGGCGGTCTGCCACGCCATCAACAATGTCAGATTCGGCCTGCTCTCCCTCGCCTTCCAGCAGGGAGTACGGGTTACTGTCCGGGTCCCTCAGCACTGCGTATGCCACAGAAAATATAATGAGTGATACAGCTACAATTGCCAATGCTTCACCCCTCTTTGACATTTCATTGCTTTAGTTTAAACAAAAAAATGCTTTAACAAAAAGAGTGAAAACTGTAAATATCCTTCTATAGCTGGTATTATACCAGCGTTTCTCAAAGTGTGGGGCGCAGAGATGTGATAGGTAGGCCGCGAATGGACGCGATGAACGGGAGACTATTATTATTTTTTAAATAAATGTTTTGGACCTCAGGCCGGAATCGAACCTGGGTCCTGGCGGGCGTTAGTGGACTGTTACAACCGGAGACTCGCAAGTTCGCAACGGCGGTGGACTTTCACAGCACCGGATGCGCAGGAGCCTCGCAACGGCGGGTGTTTGCGGTGGCGGAACCAGCGCTGTGAAAGTCCACGGCCCACCTATGCCAAAGGCAGCGGCCCACCGGGAACAGTCCCGAATCTCCCAATGGCCACACACACACAAAATAATTTACAGACATAGGTCCTATGTAAAAATCTCACACACCTGAAACCAAAATAATTTACAGACATAGGTCACACACGCGCACGCACCCGGGAAGAAAAGCAATGTGGAGCGGCATCTCACCACTTCATAAGGAGTTTAACTGTGACACTTTTCAAAATCCCGTTTGTGTCCCCCCACTTTACAAATAAAGCAGGTTAAAATAATTAAATGGCATACATTTTCTTTGAGTAAACACTGCAAACGGGTCCCACAGACCCAAACAGCACTCAAAGGTTAAAGGTAAGCATAGAATAATGTTAAAATGTGCTAAATATATACACTGCAAAAAACAAAAAAGAGTAAAAGTAGCGGACTTGTTTTCTTTTTTGAAAGTAGCTCTCATCCTACCATTTTATTGGAGTGATGAGGAACAGGTGGGGCTTGAAAAGCCCCACCTGTTCAAAGTGGAGAATGATGAGAACCACTGTATTATACTAACATGTTTTTCAGTACATTTTAACAACAAGAATCCCCCTGACTATAAGGTCCTTACTTCATCCTGTAAAAGGCACACATGCCCGCAGCTTCTTGGAAAGACATGCCAAGCAGCACCATACTCTAGGTTTTGTTTCTCATCTTATTATTGTAATATTCAAATGTTCAACCTCTTAGGACCAAGGGATGAAATGTTTAGCCCTAAACTTTGGCCATAACTACCTGAGCTGATGGAGTTGGAAGGCTTGGCCCCTGGCCCCCCACGGCCTCGTCCTGTGTTTGTGCCTCGGCCCCTGCCGCCCCGTCGGGATCCTCGCTCATCGGCCCCTAATCCACGGGGCCGCTGGTCGCGATCGCCCCAATTCCTCTGTCTCAGAAGTATTGGACAGCTCAGAGTTTGTGCCTGGATCAAACATAGATACATTTAAAAAAAAACATTAGCATAGGAAATAACAGAAATATATCTTATCTACTTTACTTTCAAATATGTCCAGATTCTTCTTACCATATCCAGAGTACTGGCTGTTTGAGGTCCTACGCCCTCTGCCGCGGCCTCCGTAGGTGCGAGAGGTGTGGAGTGAGTTGCTGCTATCATCTGTTAAGTAACCTTTCTCCCGTTCAACACCGGGGCCCCCAGGTCGGCTAGCAGGAGCGCGGTAACCAACCCCGATCTGACGGAGCTGCTCGTCAATCTGGAGACGCTCCAGGCGCAGCTGCTCCACCTCCTGCAGGGGGGGGACGAGGAGACAGTGGTGGTTAGTGTGCACTTCAATGTATATGATTAAGAACAATGCATGGAAAATTAAAAAGCAAATAAGTAACCGGAGTGAAAAAGTAGTTATCAAAGTGAGTCATAAAGACATTCATAGATACTTTCTGTTTACTACAATTAACCACACACATCTGTTCATCTGTAGCGCTGGGACCAAGCCATTCTTAGAAAACATCTGCAGTGAGCTGGTGTTGTGCTTGTTATTAGGTTTAACACTCTGCCACTAGGGGGCAGTAATGCGTTACGTTCAGTGTGATGACTGTGGGCAAATGGAACTCTTTGAGTCATTCTTAAAGAAAAACCACTGCTGATTTTTTTTTGTCAAAACAGCTGATATTTTCTGGATGTGCCTGGAATTAAAAATATGCATGTGGACACTGTAGAATGGAAATTGTCCCAATGTCTTTTTATCTTTAGACAGACATAAGTAAACTCAAAGTTTACAGAGTGTTTAAATGTAAAAGTGAACTTAATTTAAAAAGAGCTTTACAATATTGCCCATGTGACAAGCAACGCTCTCAATCACAGCACTCCAACATAAAGTTACAGCCAAATCTCATTTTAGAGTTAAATAGATTTACTTCATTCATATTATCCTCAATACTGATTACTAGCATAAATAATATCATGTTAATGTTTTCAGAGAGCACAAAAAGTCTGCCCTATACAAAAAGTCGCAATATCTATAGCGGTATAAGGTCAAACATTTTTTGATGAGTTAAAAAAGGGATCCGTGTATCATTCAAACCATTTTTTCCTAAAAACAACTATTATCTTTGCCAATCACAATTACATGTTTGTTTTCAGAAAAGCCACATAGTTTGAGGGGGTGGGCATTTGCATCTAATGGCAGCTGTGCACTGACAGCAGTTTCTGCAGAGTTTAAGTAAAGGGTGACTTGGAGGAGAGGGGGTCTCAGTTCACGGCGTGACAGCTGCCTCCACCAACGACAGCTGAACCTGCAGGGGGCGTGGAGGAAGTGAGGCAGGACGGGGGTCTGGCATTATTTTTGGACGCTGAGGGTCCAGATAGCTGGTAATCTAAACTCCTGCGTACCCTTCACCCCATCCCACAGAGAGGGGCTATTAATAAAAGCACATGAGGTAAGGGCAAAAGGAGGCGCTCTCAGCAGCTTTCTACATGTGGGGCTGCAAACAGGTGACCGGTATGAACTGAGCCTGCAGATACGCCCACATTTCCCAGCAGCACCCTGTCCTTACTCCACGTGTCTCATGAAAAAAAATGTGCTTCTTGAAACACGTTTGCTTGTGCCGAGATATTTTAAGCAGAAATACATTTATGAGAAGTCAAAGAACAAATGTTTGTTGAGTGACACAAACAGAGAAAGGGTACTGCTGCCACCTTTTGGTAAACATGGAGAATGGACTAACCTGGAGATAGGACACATGGTACTCCAACAGAGCCTGAGCATTGCTGATGTTCTCTTTAGTTCCCACAAAGACGAAGGGAACCATGCCCTGATGAAACACAGAGGGGGAGATGAAGAGTTATTTCATGTACAAAGATCATCCTTGAGTTTCAGTAACAGGGACATTTCACTGACAAGGTAACAGTTCAGAAGAATTATAAGTAAGGCAACTATTTCTGTAATGATTAGTTTTGAAAGTCACATGAAGAACACTCAACAGAAACAGATCAACCCATCAGAGACAAAAGACAGTGCCCACACACAGCCAACATAACTGACAAATTATGTGCAAAGGGCTGTGTGTTGAAAGCGATGAAAACATAAGTGCTGGTGACAAAACAAGCGAGAGACAAAGCAGCAGAATGGAACAGTGTCAAAGCAGACGGCACATTGGACTTCAACACTCTGCTGCGGTTGATAAGCTTAGCCTAATACAGAACAAAGAGCGGTTCGTTTTTTCAGGACTGTGAAGCCAGCCGTTCGGTCCGTTCACCTCTTTAACGGGGGCAGTGTCGTCCCTGCCTGCCCCCTGCCTGCCCCCCTCCTCTCGGGGCTTTTTGTCGTTGTCTCCCTCGATCCTGACGCGGACCACGCCTGACTTGTCAACAATCTCCTGAATGACTTTGCCGTTCTTGCCGATGACTTTGCCTGGGGGAGAAAAACAAAAAATAAGAGGGTTAAAAGAACGTCATGATAATACAGATATGCAAGGATAAGTAGTATATGAACAGCAATGTAGTTTACTCACCTACGAGGTCCCTCGGTACGTGAAAGTAGTCTTCTTTGAACTCGAGAAACTCTCTAGCCTGCCTTACTGCCTCTGGGGACTGTAACAAACATATGACCAAATTCAAGTCAACACATCAATTGATATATTTGGACAAGAATTGACAAGCTCTTTAAAACAAAAGCATACCTCTCCGTAGATCCTGAATGTGCAGCTCTCCTCCTCTAACTCGATGGCTGTGACTCCGGCCACCTTCCTGGCCTGCTGGATGTTGGCGCCGTGGGAACCGATGGCAAGTCCCATCAGGTCCTCCCTGACCTTCACCTCCTCCTGGTACGCTGATGCTAACTGCTTACTTGTCTGGCAGGGGAAATCAAAAGCACAAATGTGAAAAGCTAAAATGGCTCGGGCCTCTAATTGAGTAGTACGGGCACTGTTACATGCATTTGAGAGGATGTGTGAGAGTGTAGGTTTACCTCCAAATGTTTGGTGGCTTCCTCGTTGCGGGACATTAGCATGAGTTTGGTACGGATGCTGCGGAAATGCATGTCGCTCAGAAGTGTTGCACGCTTTACTGTGGTTTCGTTTGTAGACTGGAAGACAACAAAAAAGGGAATAAGTTACAATTGATCAACAACTGGTTAGTTAGTGTTTGTGAATGTGAGGGTATTGGAGAAAGTGGTGAAAGATTCAGAATTGTGTTGATGGGTGTTTTGTCGAAAAAAATAACATAGCAAGACAGGAAGAGGAGGCTATGTACCATGAGCTAAATCTAATCTACACATGTAAGAAAAAATAAACCATTTCATGTAAATTACTGCAGCTCCTTTTAATTGTGCCGCATATTTGGATTTGGAACAAGGCCATTTACTCGTTCCTGAGGTGAGATGTGTGTTCCAAGTACTTACCAGCACGATGAGTTCGTGTGATTCGGTACTGTAGAAGATGCAGTTGGCTCCGATAGCTTTCCTGAAGTCTTTGTGAATGTTCTCGCTCTCACAGCTGTCCATAAGAAAACAACCCACAGGGGAGTCAGGTTTGTTATTCATGAGGCAGCAGAGGGTCAACATAACTGAGAAAACTACTGATGCAAGAAATGAACATGTAAGGAAAGGTGTCACAACATGTAAAATCATCCATTCATACAGAAAATACTACAATATGGTGCAATGCTGATATTACCTTATAAATCAAACTTAAAGGTTGTTCATTTGACAATGCTATGACACTTACATGTCCCTCAGGTCTTCTGGGACAGGGATGGGGACCTTGTGGAAGGAGTTTCGAGAGGATGGGCTGTTGGGGTTGAGGGGCCTGATGCGCTCCGCTGTGACAATCTCGTTGTATGTGGCGTCGCATGCCGCGTATTCGATCACGTAGAACTAAAAAAACAGCACATTAGAGATTGATTGTAAAAAAACGTAGCCAGAAATGTCACAAATAGTAAAGCTCGACAGCACAGGAAACCAAAGTAATAAAAGAAACGTGAAATGATGAGCAGAAATTGTATTTTTTTTTTTATGTATTGGAAATATGAAAATGACAAACAAGCACAAAGTATTCTTTATTGTGCGTTATAAGCAATGTAAATGCTGAAAAAATACTTATTTTCTTTGCATAACAGAACATTTTGTTTCCAGTCAATATAAAAACAGCTGAATTAGCTGTCAAATTAGAAATTAATTCAGGTCTACTCTCAAATTAAGAACATATTGATGTCTGCTTTCAATAAGAAATGAATAGATGTTCTGTCAAATTGGGAAATTAAACGTCACATTAAAAATGCATTCATTCTATAGCTTGTGTGTAAAGAAAAAGGGGAACCGTGACAGAGTGAGGCGGTGAGATGAACATCGCACACACCAAGCTCAAAGGACAGAATTAAAGCCATCAGTCAGCGCTAGACATTCCTGCAGGCTCTTATCAGACTGCTCCAAATAACAGCATAACACCCGCAGCAGCCCCCCCCCCCCCCCCCACTCAGTGGCACTACGACGCAGTCCTCTACATATCCCACTGACCCACTATTCAACCTGCAGCTGACTAACAGCCTTGGTGCTTGGTTATTAGGAAAAAACAATGAAGTCCACGCAACATTAAGTCAGTGTGGAGAAAAGGCACAGGATGTATGAGGAATATCATATGAAGGTACTTTGTTAGACCACATGAGGACCAACTGGATCGTCTGGCTCACTACCCAGCAGTTATTATCTTACTACAGGCCTGTATTCACTCCACACAAGCTTCACAAACAGCAACTGGCATGACAACAAAACACTGAAGGCAAAGGGAAATAGAATTGCTCCATTGCGGCTTGATAAATGAGAAGATACAGGGCAGCATTTTATAAATATTAAGTCCTTTTCCACCCTGAAGTTCCATGATTTATTTTTAGGCCAAGGATCTAACACCTTGAGCCCATAAATGTTTCAACGACATTAGAAAAAAGGCACATTAAAAGGTTAGGCAAGCTAGACCGGTTTAAAAAACAATAACTACTTTGCTGTAGATTCATTGGAAGAAAACACGAAAGCCTCATGTTGTTAATATGTCATAATATTGTAAGAAGGTTTTTTTTGTATTATGAGAGACTAAACGCACCATAAAGACAAAACACATCCCAAGTACAGAGCATATGATCTTTATGAAAGTATGCATAAGGGATGAAACTATTTTTAAACGGTTCAAAACAAATTCCATCTCTTACTCCTATTTTATTTTGTAAAAGAGAATGTTCTTGGAACTCACCTCTCCCTTCATCATTCTGACCCGGGCCAGCCACCAGCCACATGGCTCCTGTTCGTTGGCCCTGGAGTAAACCTGGGAGGAGAAACACAAGGAATGAAAGCCAAGCAGGGGCCAAAAAAGACGCATATTTCACAACGAGCTAGTGTCATTTGGACAGATTGTATGAGATGTTAAGGACACATTTTATTGTAACAATTAATGACTGATAACTTCTACATGTTAATATAACATTTTTAGGATTTATTATTTTCTAATTGCCTGCTCAAAAACACAAAAACCTCAAAGTCACAAATCCTGACAAATGTATTCAGTATTTTCTTTATATTGTGTATTATTTATAATTCAAGTGATTTATGTATTTTCTAAATGTGAATAAGTATATATTTAGCTGTTAATGTAAATTAAAATTGTATCCTATTCTATCTTTTAAATATGTTTAACTCTTTTGTGGTGCTTGACAACACTCCTGCTGTAACAAAATAATTCCCTAATTTGGGATGAATAAAGTATCTATCTATCTAGAAACAGCTTTTAGGCAGTCACATGCCAGAAGCCGTTATATAGTAATGCGTAAACTTAAAAAGGGCATAACAGAAGAGTATTTCATTTTCTTCATTTAAAGTGTATGTACTGGAAACGTCAATTAACACGAGCTAATAATGAGCATTATGGGCTTTGAGACATAGGTCCCACTCAGGTGGATGAGCTGAAGGAGGTGCAAAGCAGCCGGCCTTACCTCCACTTCTTCCCCTTCACCGATTTCCTTGAGGTATTCGGCTGGAGGAGGCAACCGTACGTCGCTGAAGGGCAACTGTCTTTCTGGCTGCCAGCTATGGTGAGACGACACAGAGATGAACCAGGTCAATAAATACATTACAATTAAACATTGTAGTTGAATCCCTTTTTGCCCTGATGTCATATTGGGAATGTAAAGACAAGGCTGTGCGGCACAATAACAGACTTTATGGAACTCATTATTTTATTTTTTATTTTTTTAAATGGGTCATCAAGTTTAATGAGGAGGTTTGAGGAACTGCGCCTGACAAGTGAGTGACTGTTCATTGTATGATGTATTTCATTAAACAAGAATAAATAAAGACTTCCATAAAGTGCAGTTAATAACTGGCTCATTTAGATATTAATTGCTATCATGTAAGACCCCAAAAGGTATCGTATTCAATCACTGTGTTTTACAACCCTCTACTCGGCCCATGTGCTCAGAGAAAGTAAGAGTAGGGAGGGGGTCGTCTAAAAAAAATGACACAGGCCCGATACTGCCACCCCCTCCCACCCTGCATACCTCGGGTCACTATTTTTAGGGTCACCCTGCTCTACACTCAGAGCCAAGTAGATAAAGAGGGACCAGGGGGATGGGTGGGTAGTGGAAAAGGGACAGTAGGTGGGGCTAGGAATATAGGAAAGCATGCTATCAGGGGGGATCAGAGCAGGAGGCAAACAAACTGTTAGAGACGTGTATGGGCAGCTGCATGCCAGGCTAAGGGGCTGAAGGGGACCATTTGGAACTGGGTAAAGCACCGGCTCTGAGCAGACGTCAAAACTTTAAATCACAACAGTTTCAGCTTAATTTCCCGAACATTTATCCATAAAGATAGATGGATAAACAGGACACTTACTTGTTTTCAAAAACAATTGTGAGTGAGTCTTCGTGGACATCTTTGATGAAGCCCTAAAAGAAAAAACAGAGAGACAGGATTTTAATTGCACGAATGAGCAAGAGAGACAGTGAGGAGGGGTGGGGCTGTGAGCATTTCATTCTCATGTAAACAACATTAGCCATGCTAACCAACAGCACTGAGACCATTGCTGAAAAAGAGCATCTTGGGCTTTTTTGGGAAGCCAAGACATAACTGACACAATTTCTGTGCTGGATAAAGTGACGATGAACACTGACTCCTCCTGACAGCCCGGAAATATCTCTCGCATACGCACACAATTCAAATGCAAGGGCTTTCTCGTTGTGTGTAAGTTTGAATACTGCAGTTTTACAAGAGGCAGTTTTATGAGGGGACATGTATGGGGAAGGCTCACACAGCCGAGCCTATATGGACGTATTATCTGATAGACAACTACTACGAGAGTCTCGGGATGCCATAAAGTTTGACCAAAAAACCCCACAAGCAAGCAAGGATCAGACAGGGGAAAGTGGTGGGTGTGGCGTGTCCCTTGGTGGGACACTACCGTATATGGGACAGAGAGGTCAAGCAGTATTTTTGCAAGCATTTGTGGGTTTGGGGAGGGGGGAGAGTCGATTCACCTGCTAGAAAGAAGCTGCTTATGTACTGCAAGAGCTGGCTAGGGTTTCAGGGTGTGTTGACATGTTAGGATTTCTACTCCCTTTTACATCACTTAAACCGTCCAATCTGAATACAACTCAGATCATCCATCACCTCCTTTTTGTGTTATGAGATGGGCCAAGTTAATGGTCCAAGTATGCCTCGCATGAATGATTAGCATCCGTCTCTCACTGTAGGGATCCCAGTGGCATTAGGATGCTATCATCTGGAGAAAAAGTCAGCAGTGACAACAGGTCTGACTGAAAAAGTGCTCATCCTCCATTTTCCAGAGGGCACATTAGGAGACCGCTGCATGTGCATGTTATGTCAGGTGGAGTATTGCTTCCATCAAGTAGTACCAGGTCAAGGGGCAGGCAAGCCCTGTTTCTAACGTGACATGGGGGGGGCGTTGAGTGGTCACTGGCTGTTCCACAGTGACGTCCACTCATCCTCAACAGCCACATGCAGGACAAAGTGGTGAGGAAGATCTTTCACACTACAGGGGGCTGGTTTGCCAACTTCCTCTCAAAAAAAAACGTGATGCATTTTTCCCACAAAAAAGGAAAATACGCATTTGGCTTAATGGGAACAAATATTAATAAATGTGCAACGTTCCTTATTAATGCCAAATATCCAGTCAAAACATAAGAAATTGATGTGGAACAATTAACATTAATAAAACTGTTTAGATCCTTGTTAGGCATTTTAACAGTTGGGATGGTCGGGACCCCCTTGAAAACGAGAAATTGCCATTACTTGACAGGTGCCGTTTGTCCCCAACAGGTTGTGATTCTGAATCATAAACTAACTGACTCACGCCGACAGCAAAGTGAAGGAAGTGCATTGAA